TTATTATTAATATATAGAGAAGTATTATCTCTGAATGTATACATTTATGTTGATGCTCGCTGTTGTCTTCACGGCTAACACCAGACCAAGAGAAAATGGCTTTTAGCTTCTGCAATGGGAGCGAAACATCTGGAAGTGTTTTATTCACTGGGGGGGATGAGACACCGACGAAACCAGAGCGAAAACAGGACAAGAGAAATGATGTGAAATTAGATTAGCAGCAATTTTACGGTAGATTCTGGAGATGTTATTGCTCTGAATTTCTTCCATTCAACATTATATTGTCTTGTATTCAAAATGACTGATATTGGCGACAATGGAGCTAAAAGATCAAGATTAATAAATCTTTTATTTGTCTCACAGTGGGGAAATTTCATTGTTGCATCACAAGTTACAGATCCTTTGGAAACAATTTTAACAAAAGACACAACTGCATTTTATCTCTTTGATAAGGTCTTTACACTGTTTTATTCCCTCCAGTTTTTCACTATACACAAAATAAGCCTTTTTCTATGTTTGACTATTTTGAATAAAACTTGTCAGAAATGGTAATATTTTAAATTCCAGTCAATATCAATCAATCTAAGCAATCTTTTCAGTATGAGTTAAATGCTGATACAAGCGCTCCACTTGAGCTTTCTCTGCAGAGTGGCTGGGCACTCCTTTAGAATTAGGGTGAGGAGCTGAGTCACACGGGAGGAGCTCGAAGTAGAGCCGTTACTCCTCCATGTGGAGAGGAGCCAGTTAAGGTTGCTCAGGCATCTGTTTGGAATGCCTTCTGGACGCCTCTCTAGGGAGATGTTCCGGGCATGTCCCACTGGGAGGAGACCAGGGGAAGACACAGGACACACTAGAGGGACTATGCCTCTCAGCTGGCATCGGAGCGCCTCAGGATTCCCCCAGATGAGCTGGAAGAAGTACTGTATGTAGAGAAGAAAGTCTGGGTGTCTCTGCTCAGACTCTTACATCAGATAAAGAAGAACAAAAATGAATGGAGAGCATAAGCAGTTTTCATAACTTTCAGAGACCATAGCTAGTTGTTGTAAGCGTGAGCATGCCAACAGCCCACTTTCTGCTTCCCTAAAGCTCAAAAGGTTTTTTTACTGTTTGAATGAAATCCGCTCTCTTTCAGTGAGACTTAAAACTTATTCAAACAAGTGTATAATAAGTTTCAGGTTTTGTTAATACGAACAAGCTGCGACTCGCCAAAGCTGCGACTGCTGAAATACGGTCATGTAGGAATAAAACGGCTCACATGCAGACCAGGACTGAACCAGGACTGAACCAGGTCTGAACCAGGTCTAAATCATAGACTGTAAATATTAACGGACATAGTCACGCCTATCTCCGCCGTTCTAACTAATGGGCCAAAAAATTTGCTCTACTGGAGCTGTCCAAAATGGCCGCGAATGGTCCCGGCCACAAGAAAATTGTGAAAAAAACGCATCTGCGCATGCGTCAGCCGGCGCAAGCTCCATTCATTTGAACGAGTGACTACAAAAATTCACAGCAAGTAAACTAGAGTGGACCAAAAAAAATTCACTCCCCTCAGCATTGACACACATGTGGAACGGAGCTTTGGGCCAAGAGCCAACTTTTGGACCATCCTGTAAAGACGTTTTTGAGAGGTCTGCCAATGCTATATGTTAGCATTGGCTAATTTTTATTCCGGGTCCACCCCCACCGGCCCCGGGTGGTATTGCAAGCATGTCAGTGCACGTCATTTTGGTCACTTTTGAGCCGGGACCCGCCCCCAATGGTCTAAATGAGGTCTAAACCAGGTCTATGTATTCAAAACAAATCCAGACACCAGGGTTGGACTGGCCATCGGGCGTATCGGCAATGTCCGAAGGGCCGATGCCCATATTTGTCCCTTTCTCGTCCCTGTAACTATCAATCGTTTGGTCTGTGGCCATCTCCCTCAGTCTGTGTAGTGACATGTTTATTACTCTCTTGTAATATAGACAATTGCACTTTATTATAACTGTTGAAACTGCATTCATCCAAACCAGTTTGTGCTTCCGCATACCGTATAAATGACCGTAAAAAAACGGCCGGGCTTTCAAGAAGGCAAAAATAGCCTGGCTGTTTTTTGGTCCCAGTCCAGCCCTGATACAAACTATAGTTATGTAGTCAGACTTTGAACTTACAGTGCGTAGAAATTTTTCTCACTAATAATTACAGAGAAGAAGTCAGCAGAATTTAAATCTACAAGCTTCACAAAGAGTCCAGCCACTTTGTATAGATAGATTTTTGCCATCTTTGTTGTATTAGAATCTGGACCAGAGGCGTTTTGGAGAAAATGTGTCAAAATTGAGTAAGAAATATTATTGAAAGACAACAGTTTGCCATGTTTTTGACTACACTGTCTGATTACAGCTTGGCCAGACAAAGAAAGTCATTCATACTCTTGATAATATCTTTTAGACTTAGGTGAGGGTGAGGAAGGTAGTAAAAAACGATAAAAGTGTAAATGGCAAGGGAAGATGACTGGAACATGTAGATTTGGTCAGGTTTTAGGTACTACCGTGCTCATCACCCTCATTCGGCCAATCAACTCTCAGTATGCCAGCCCATCTTTAGACAGCCCCTTGGATATTAATGGAAGGCTGTTACTTTGTATTTATGACATAAAACACTAGGAATGCTTCCCAAAGTGCTATAATCCGTAAAAACAGGTCTTGAACTTTTACCACACACGCACACACACACACATGCACCTGCACACACACACACACACAGACACGCACACACGTATTGGATGCTTGAACTGTTGAAGTTGCTTTAGTGGTGTGGTCGGGGTAAACTGGGAAACTCGTGCTGGAAGTCCCCTCATAAACAAAGAGACTGCTGTGTGTTTACGACCGGCTTAAAGCGTTTAACTGGACCCTGGTCTTCTGTCGTTTCTGAGATAGCTCGCAGACATCAACCCCCTTCTCAACAGCTTTCAACATGTTTTACAAATCAGATTACAATGACAGTAATTTTATAGTGTTTCCAAAGCACTAGTGTTATCATTTTGAGCACACATCAAGAATGTCCCCTTTAAAATAAGACGTTTATTACACAACAATAAGGTCTTTAAACTGTTAGTGCAGCTTTAACAACGTTTAAAGCTGCACTAACTAACTTTGAGAAATGTTCGAATGAGAGCGACGAGCTCGCTCTACTTGCTCGCCCTCCTCGCACGGAGCTTTCGCACGGAGCTTTCGCACGGAGCTTTCGCACGGAGCTTTCGCACGGAGCTTTCGCACGGAGCTTTCGCACGGAGCTTTCGCACGGAGCTTTCGCCCTGCGCTCACATGCTAGCTAAATGTATATGGAGCTCACGTCTCACAATATGGATTGCACATCCGTACGTGGATGGCGTGACCATAGAATGATAAAACCGGGAAGCGCGGAGAGGACGAGACTTTTTTTTGGATGGCTGTTTCGCTGTGTAAGCGCTAACCGCTAACGAAGACACAGGAAGCTTCCGGTTAGCCTCCGCCGCTTGTTTACCGCTGTCTGTGCTAACAAGAGACCTGTGGCTTTTCTCAAGAAAGTGGGGGCCAGTGGTCCGCTGTGATTGGTCACAATCTGGACCTGAAACACATTCTCTTCCTTGTTGCACAAAAACTAGATCTAAAATAAAATGTCACGCCAGCACAAATCTGTGCTACTTTTTCTTCAAAAGGACGTATATCCCAATGCATTAATCCGTGTACCCTTCGATCATTAGTTATTCCGTTTCAAAATATAATCAGAAAAACAAATTACGTGGTTGTTTTATTGTATTTCCATTTTCTAAATTAAATTGGAAAATCTAAACATTCTAAATAAAATATTCACCCATTTCTTTGCTATGCAGTGGAAACAAACACTACTAAAACAACTTCCATTATTTTGTTTGATATGCTACCGGAAATGATGAGCGGTGAGAGACGGATTTTCTGATTTTATTTTGAAACGGAATAACTAATGATCGAAGGGTACACGGATTATGCATTGCATGGAAATGGATTGAATTTTCGTAATGAATACAAAAATAAAGTCAGTCAGTGCAGCTTTAATTCTTGTAATTTTGATTTTGTTTTGAATTTTTGCAGCTGTTCTAAAGCAGGACTAGAACAGGGCTAAAGCGGATCTAATCCAGAACTAAATTAGGACTAAACCAGGAATAAATTAGGACTAAACCAGGGACTAAAGCAGGCCTAAACCAGGGACTAAACCAGGCCTAAATCAGGGACTAAACCCGGTCCAAACCAGGACTAAACCATTCTGGTATACAGTGCAGTGTCATGTGTACTGGGGTCAGTTCTGCTGTTTCTACTGTTCCCTTTGGCTTCATTCACTCGGCTCCAGTCAGATCACTCTCTTCTGTCTGATCAAAAATGTGAACTATTCAAAGTCACACAAGCTCATCATTCCATTCAAAAATACTTCATTGATCTAGTTATAGATTCTTCAACATTTTCAGCAAAAACATCTTATGAAACATGTCAATTCTTGTCTCCAGTTTAAGTCTTGTGACATGAGCCTTGCTACTTCTGTCACCTTTTCACTCCAACCCATAAATAACTCTTCTTTTTCTTTCTCTTTCCAGATCGCAGACGGAAAGTGCCTTTTGGAGAGCTTCTACTTGAAAAATAGAGGTTTTCTGGAACAATTTCTGGACCTATTTCTCCACGTTTTGGATAAAAGCGTGATCAAAGAAAGCCATTTTGAATTGCTGCTTTAAATAGCATTACAATCCAGGTATAACCAATCATTGAGCTGACATTTTTTTGTGTGTGTGAGTTGCAACCCCAGCTATGCTTTGCATTAGATTCCCATTATTTTTAGCTTAAACTAAACACACATAGCTCGTCATTGGATCTAGCACTTTAGCTACAAGGACCAATTCCATGCTGGCTTTTTAACCAGCACTTTCCCCAGCCTTCGCAATTTCACTTTTTGCGTTTTTTAAACCGGTATCCGGACTGGCGTTTGAGTGGGACTTTGCGACCGCCGCTGACAGTATGGCTCTCAACATTGCATCCATACGAGACACAAAATGGCTGACGCTGGAAGTGTGTCGACAGTTCCAGAGGGGGACGTGTTCCAGAAGCGACGAAGAATGCAAGTTTGCCCATCCGCCCAAAAGCTGCACGGTGGACAACGGCAGAGTCATCGCCTGCTTCGACTCACTAAAGGTAGGAATGGTTCTGTCTCCTCGTTTCGAAGATCTTTGGCTTTGGATATTTTTGGAGTTCTATGAGCAATACTGTGTCCACAAGCGAACTAAAGAACTAAAGAGACTGAGACCAGAGAGAGGGAGAGGGATGAAAGGGAGAAGGGGAGAGGGAGAGGAGGAGTGGAACCAAAGAGGGAGAAAGGGACCAGAGGGAGAGAGGGGCGAGAGAAGGAGAGAGGAACCAGAGAAGGAGAGAGGAACCAGAGAAGGAGAGAGGAACCAGAGAAGGAGAGAGGAACCAGAGAAGGAGAGAGGAACCAGAGAAGGAGAGAGGAACCAGAGAAGGAGAGAGGGACCAGAGAAGGAGAGAGGGGCGAGAGAAGGAGAGAGGAACCAGAGAAGGAGAGAGGGACCAGAGAGAGAGAGAGACCAGAGGTAGAAAGAAGAAGATTTAGAACTTTGTGACACTTTGTTTCATGTGGATTGAGCACAGACAAATTAACACTTTTGAACGTTACTATAGTTACCAGCAAAGATTTCTAACACGACAAAGACGGCATGCTGTAGTCCGATTTGTTCACAACCATTTACTCTTACAAACTAGTTAATTATTTCAGGGATTCTTCCATAGGCTTCTCACAATTCTCATCTGGAACTCTAGCCCATTTCTCCTGGCATAACTGATATAGAGTAACATGTATTCCTTAGGTACTCAAAATAATCCAAAAATCTCTTCCTACAGTATTCTCAGCACTCGTTAGCCCGTGTCGGCAGATTTAAAGCAGGTTGGACAGGGCAACACCGTTTTAGCCGCGCCACGTAAAATGTTAGTGCTGGGTGTTCGCTGTCGGCTGGAATTAGTGTACGCGCAACGAGCTTGTGACCTGTGACATTTGGATCTGAAGATTTGGGCCTGTCCTGTGGTGTGGATGTCATATAAATTGAGGATGTCAAAAGTCTGTTAATTATTTACAACTATTATTGAAGTGATCGTGGTCTGATTTAAGTGGTTAAATACATAACTTTCAAACCACACATAAGGGAACGAGGTGATACAATCCTTCTAACTAGTGTCACTGTTTGCTTCTATCACTAGTTATCATGTATTTCTGCCTCTATCATATCTTTAGATCATCTTTTTCAGACAGAAAAGTGACAAAGAGAGGACCGGCCTCACTCAGCCAATCAGAGTCAAAAAAGTGACTCTCAGGGATCTTTCTAACACATGTTTTCTAATAAGATGAGAACAGAATATTGTACTTATTTTACTTTTACAATTCTCTTTCTGTTGGGACCATCTACAAGTAAAATTATTTTGGGGTAAGCTTTAAGTATGCCAGCTTTAATTGGTTTGTACTTTAACTCAAACATTATATATATATATATATATATTATATATATATTCTGCACCTTCTCCATCGAGTCCCACTGATGACTGCTGTCGTTGTGTCCTTGGGCAAGACACTGGGCAAGACACTTTTGCCCAAAGCCCCCACTGAAAGATCAAGGCTATGCTCACACTCAGAGAGCAGCCGTATCCTCCTGTGGACTCACCACCTGCAGAGGGTCAGTGAGGGGCTGGTGCTATGAGACTTGGGTGGCATCTCTGATTGTCACCCCCCCTGGACCCAGAAATGGATTAAAGGTTAGAAAATGAATGGATGGGATGGGTGGATATATCTATATATATATATATATGTCATATATATATATATATATATATATAAAAATTGTCCACTCACCTTGGCCCTCCGCCGTGCGTTTTTACCTCTTCTAGCTTTGGGGTCACTGCCCCGAGTGCACCGATCACCACGGGCACTACTGTCACCTTTACCCTCCAGGCCCTCTCCAGCTTCTCTCTGAGACCTTGGTATTTCTCAAGCTTTTCATGTTCCTTTTTCCGGATGTTACAATCGCTTGGAATTGCCACGTCCACCACCACGGCTGTCCTCTGCCCTTTGTCTACCACCACGATATGTCAGGTTGGTTCGCCATTACCATTCGGTCGGTCTGTATCTGGAAGTCCCACAGGATCTTTGCACGCTCATTCTCCACCACCTTTGGAGGAGTTTCCCACTTAGACCTTGGGGTTTCCAGCCCATACTCTGCACAGATGTTTCTGTACACTATGCCAGCCACTTGGTTATGGCGTTCCATGCAGGCCTTCCCTGCCAGCATCTTGCACCCTGCAGTTATGTGTTGGATCGTCTCAGGTGCCTTCTTGAGATCAGCCACTTCTGTTATGCTCTGGTGGTACATGCCGTGTAGGGGCTTGTTCTCCCATGATGGGCTCTCCTCCAGCATATATATATATATATACAGTGCCTTGCGAAAGTATTCGGCCCCCTTGAACCTTTCATCATTTTGCCACATTTCAGGCTTCAAACATAAAGATATAAAATTTAAATTTTTTGTCATGAATCAACAACAAGTGGGACACAATCCCCCTCCCCACACCCCACCCCCCCCCACCACCCCACCCCCCCACCACACACCCACCCAAACCCACCAAACCCCACCAAACCCCACCCCCCCCAAACCCACCACCCCCCCCCCCTCACACCCCCCCACAACCCCCCCCCCCACCCACCCCCCCCCACCAACCCCACAACCCCCCACACCCCCCAACCACCCCCCCACCCCCACCCCCCCCCCACCCCACCCCCACCCACCACAACCCCCACCCCCCCCACACACACCCCCCACCCCCCACCCCCCCCCCACCCCCCCCACCCCCCCCCCCCCCCCCACCCCACCCCCCCCACCCCAACCCCACCACCCCAACCAACCAACCCCCCCAACACAAACCCCAACCCCCCCACCCCCCCACCCCCCCCCACCAACACCCCCCCCACACCCACCCCACCAAACCCCCCACCCACCACCCAACACCCCCACCCCAACACCCCCCCCCCCCCCCCCCCACCCCCCCCCCACCCCCCCCCCCCACACCCACCCACAAACACCCCAACCAACACACACAACACCACCTACACCCACAACCCCCCCACCACCCCCCCAACCTTAAACACCACCACATCACTACACCACCCACAAAATCCACCCTCCACAAATACCCTACACCACACCACCCCACATACCCCTACAACCACACTAATTAACGCATACAAAATCAACCTACTGACCCACCCCACATTCACCACACAGCATACCTACAACAATACCCTAGACAACGCCCACCACAAATCACCCATCACGTGTTCCCATAATAGATGAACCCCCCTAGAAAGTAAAAAAACTCCCCCCCCCCCCTCCCCACATTCCCATAAATCTCCCAAACACCCCCAAACCAAACAAACACCCCCCCACCACCCAACAAAAACCAAATTACCATCAACACCCACCCCAATAAAAACAACCCCCCAACAACCCCCCACACAAAACAAACACACACCCCACACCACAAATCCCCACACACACACCCACACCCAACACCCCCCCAACCCCCACCCCCCCCCCCCCCCCCCCCCCCACACCCCAAAACCCCCCCCCCCCCCCCCCCCCCCCACCCACACCCCCCCCCACCCCCAACAACCCCCACCCCCCCAACCCCACCCCCCCACCCCCCCCCCCCACCCCCCCCCCCCCCCACTACACCCCACCCCACCCAACCAACCACACAACACACCCACACCCACCAATCCACCCCCCCACCACCCCACCCCCCCCCCCCACACCCACCCCACACCCCCCCACCCACCACCACCCCCCCCCCCCCCACCCACCCCCCACCCCCCCCCCCCCCCCCCCCCCCCCCCCCCCCCCCCACCCCCCCCCCCCCCCCCCCCCCACCCACCCCCCCCCCCAACACACACAAAACCCCCAAACACCCCCCCACCCCCCCCCCCACCCCAACACCCCACCCCCCACCCCACACCCCCCCCCCCCCCCCCCCCCACCCACCACCCCCACCACCCCCCCCCACCACCACCCCACCCCCCACCACCCCCCCCCACCCAACCCCCCACCCCCACCAAACCCCCCCCCACACCACCCACCCATCCCACAACCCCCCCCACCACCCCCACACACCCACCCCCACCACACCCCCCCACCACCCCCCACCACCCCCCCACCCCCCCACCCCCCCCCCCCCCCCACCACCCCCCCCCACCACCCCCCACCCCCCCCCCCCCCCCCCCCACCCCCCCCCCCCACCCACCCCCCCCACCAACCCCCCACCAACCCCCCCACAACCCCCACCACCCCCCCACCCACCCCCCCACCCACCCCCCCCCCCACCCCCCCCCCACAACCCCCCCCCACCCCCTCCAACCCCCCCCCCCCCCCACCCCACCCCCCCCCACCACACCCCCCCCACCACAACCCCCCCCCCCCACCCACCCCCCAACCCACCCCCCCCCCCCCCCCCCCCCACCCAACCCCCCAACCCCCCCCACCACCCCCCCACCCACCCCCCCCACCCACCCCCACCCACCACACCACAACCCCCAACACCCCACCCCCCCCCCACCCCCACACCCACACAACCCCCCCCCCCCCACACCACCCCCCCCACCACCCCCCCCCCCCCCACCCAACCCCCCACCCCCCCCACCCCCACATCCATATACCCCCAACCACAAAACACCAAAAACTACACCCCCAAACACCCCCACACCACACCACCATACAACCCCATCACAAACACACCACCCCCCACCAACCACCTAATACACCCACCAACACAAAACCACCCCCCCCCCTAAAAAATCAAAAATCACTCATCCCCCACTACCACACACACACACCACCACCACACCTCACACACTCTCTTCTCTCTCTCTTATCTCCACTTCTCCTATCTCCCTCTCACTCCCTCACCCCTTTATCTTCTCTCCTCACAACTCATCCTTTATCCTATCTCTCTCTCTCCTAAATCTCCCTCTCTATCTCTCTCTCTACTCTATCTCTCTCCTCTTCTCCTCTCTCTCTCTCTCTCTCTTATCTCCCTACTCTCATATCTCCTCTCTCCTATCTATTAGCAATTCCCTCTCTCTCGCGCTCTTCCTATCGTCCTCTCTATCTCTTCTCTATCTCCCCTACTCTATCCTTATCTCCTTCTCTCTCTCCTCCTCCTCCCTTACTCTCTTCCCTCTCATCCTCTCTCTCTCTCCATCTCTCCTCTCTCTCTCTCTATCTCCTCTTCTTCTCATCCATCTTCCCCTCTCTCTCTCTCCCTCTCTCTATCTCCTCTCACCATCTGTCTCTCTTCTCTGTCTTCTCGTCTCATTAGAGTAGTAGTAGTTCTTCTATGTTCCAATCTCCTCATCTCTCTCTCCTTATCTCTCATATCTCTCCTCTCTCCTCTCTTCTCTCTCCTATCTCATCCTCTCTCTCCAACTTTCATTCCTACCTCTAGAGTCTCTTCTATGTTTGTGTGTCTCATCATCTCTTTCATATCTCTCTATCTCTCTCTCACACAAACACAACCACAGTACTACTCCAATTCCACAGAGATAGTAATATATGTCCACTCATCTCACATCATAATCACCCCCACCACTAACTTCTAAAAACACACACAACAACACAACCCACCACACACCCACCCCCCAACACACAACACACACACAACACAACACACCAACAACACACACACACAAACACCCCCACCCCCCCACCCCCCCCCCCACCCCCCACCCCACCCACAACCCCCCCCAACCACCCACAACAAACCCCAACCCCCCCCACCCCCCCCCCACTAACACCCCACCAACTCATCCTCCACCCACCCCAACCCCCCCCACCACCCCACCCACCCCCCCCCACCAACCCCACCCACCCACCCCACCCCCCACCCCCACCCACCCCACCACCCAACACCCCCAAAACCACCACCCACCCCCCCACCACAAACCCACCCCACCCCCCCACCCACCCCCACCCCCCCCACACCCCCCCCCACACACCACACCACCCCACCCCACCCCCCACCCCCCCCCCCCACCCCCCCCCCCCCCAACACCCACACCCCCACCCCCCCCCCACACACACACCCCACCCACCCCCCCCCCCCCCCCCCACCACCCCCCCCCACCACAACCCACCCAACACCCCCCACCCACCACCCCCCCCACAACCCCCCACCCCCCCCCCCAACCCCCACACCCATACCCAATTACCCCCCCCCCTCCAAACCCACACCCACCCCCCCCCACCCCCCCCCCCCCCCCCCCCCCCCACCCCCACCCCCATACCCCACCCCACCCCACCACCCCCCCCCCCCCCACCCCCCCCCCCCAACCCCCAAACCCCCCCCCCCCACCACAACCCCCCCCACCCACAACCCCCCCCCCCCCCCACCCCCCCCCCCACCCCCCCCCCCCCCCCCACCACCACCCCCCACCCCCCCCCCCCCCCACCCCACCCCCCCCCACCCCCCAAACACAACCACCCCCCCCCACCACCCACCAAAAAACACCCCCCAAAACCCCCCCCCCACCCTACAAAAACCCCCCCCAAACCCACCACCCAACACACACACCAAAAACACCCACACACACTACAAACACTACTCTCTCTCCTATCTCTCTCATCTACTCTTCTCCCATCTCCCACCACTCTCACACCCACTCTTCCTCTATCTCAATCTATCTCCTCTCCTTCTCACCTAATCACCTCTCTCTCCCCTATAAACCCCCTTCTCTCTCATCCAATCTCCCTCTCTCTCTCTCCATTCTTCTCCCTCTCCTCTCTCTCTCTCTCTCTTAACCCCCACCATCACACCTTCACATCCTCTCATCACAATCACCCCCCCAACATCTCACACTATCTCCCTCTCTCTTCTCTCTCTATCTCTCTCTTCCCTATTCCTCTTACTCTCTCTCCTCTCTAGAATCTATCTCACATCTCTCTCCTCTCACTCTACTCCCTCTCTCCCCATTCTATCTCACACCTATACCTCTACTCCACTCCCTTTCTCCTCTCTCACTTCACTCTAATAAAACCCCCCCCAATCAAAAGCCGAGAAGAGAGACGCGAGCAGAGAGAGGACGTGAGCAGAAGACGAGAGTACGTTGTATCCAGAGCGAGACGAGCGAGAGGTGAGCCAGATGAGCGAGTAGATTGCGGGAGCAGTGAACAGAGAGTGATGTGAGCAGCAGAAGAGAGGGCAACCGAGCAGAGAGCAGTACGTGGAGCAGAGAGAGAGAGACGGTTGCGCCGAGAGTAGAAGCAGGAGTGCAGCCAGAGGAGGAGCCAGCACGCCACCACGACGCAGACGACGGAGAGACCTCGTGAGCAGCAAGCAGCCCCAGACGGCGACCCCCGCGAGCACAGACTCCAGAGAGACCGCCCGCCGCACCGCTCTCGCGACTCGTCGACAGAGACGCGAGCAGTGGAGAGAGAGAGATACGGCGAGGCAAAGAGAGAGACGCGCGCAGACGAGAGAGAGACGCGAGCAGAGAGAGAGAGGACGTGAGTCCCGCGTGTATATGGTTCCGCGCTCGGTGCCCAGACGGCAGTTGCGTTCATGAGCGGAGGATGTAACGGTAACTACGGTTTATCCACCACATTCCAATATTTATGTATATTAAATAAATTCTGTGAATTTCACCTAGATTACTTTCAAGACATTAAAGACTAAAGATGTTATATAATAATTGTTTAATGGAAAAAAACAATTTTGCTCCACAAGCCAACCAAAAGATGTGCTCAGTTCATGAATCGAACTGGGGTTCTCGCAGGTCCCAGTCTTTGTATGTAACCATTGGGCCGAACATAGCACCTTTGGGCCTAGACCGGTTTGCACGCAGTTTATACCTGAGCGTCTAACTGCTAATGTGACAAATCGCACGCGTTACAGGCCACGTACGACGTTTATACGCGCAGCAGACTGCGCGTAACTTTTGTTTTATTTTTTTTCATGTGAACCTATGATGATATTTACACTTCATTGCGTTATACGCGCGTATGACGGACATGTGGACGCGAAGCGTGCGTCTAATTTAGGTGGATTTCCTAATTTTGTGGCGGCACCATACGCGTTCTCCCATTAGAATTCTCATGTAAACTTATTATTCTAGCGGTCCTTGGCTTTAGATCACATCATGCACGCACACTTGCACTTGTGTCTAAACAACAGCCGGAGGAGCAGCAGGGTTTTACAGTGATTCTGGACATCGATTTTTTTCTTCATAAAGTCTCGCGTCAGGACAAACCAGCGCCACAGGCACCATGCCGACCACACCACTGCCTTTGCTATGTGATGCTCTTCCATCAGCCTACATATCATAACCATAAACCATACACTTCACCCTTTTCTCTAACATCCTCTCTTCAATTTTCCTTACTATAATCACACCCCTCATAACCTCTCTCATCTAATTCTACCCTCAACTTTTAACCTCACAATATACCCCACTAACTAATTCTTCTACCTATTCAACTCAATCCCCAATCTTACTCACCTCATAAACACTAAAACCCCTCTTTATCAACTCTCCTCCTATCAAAACCTCCTCCCCTACCAAATCCACCCACAAACCACCCCCAACCCAACCCCCACAACAAACAAACACACTCAAAAAAACCAATAAAAAACACACAACAAACCCCCTCATAACTACACCCAAATAACAAACCCAAAAAACCCCCTACACAAAAACCAACAAACACACCCCCCAAATACTAACCATCCACCACAACCCCTCCTACCCCCCCCACAATTAAAAAACTAACCAATAAAACCACACAATCTAACACATCATACCATCCCACCCAAACCTACCAACCACCTCACCAAAATCCCACCCCAATTCATCCTTCAACAATAACAATAATCTAAAAAAAACCCTACAAACAAAATCTCATCCTCCCCAACACATTAACCTCCAACTACTAAACCCAATATCTCAATTAAAAAATCCACAATCAATACCCCCAATCCCTCATATCAAACTTATCTAAAAAAATTACCCTCAAAAAAAATCACATGTCCATTACCATCCCCATCAAATCAAAATCCACTAAAACTTTACCTGTGTGAAAAATAACCACCATTCCCCTGAACCCCAACACACCCAATCACCCCCCCAATCCTCCCATCATTTCTCCCAAATCACTCCACCCAAAATCACAAACAAAATCCCACCCCATTTCAACATTCAACCCCCAAAACCCCACAATAAAATCCAACCCACCTTAAAAAACAAACCCCCAATTCCAATATATTCAACCCCCCCCCCCCCTTAAACCCCCATAAACCTACCACCCCACCTTCACACCCCCCCAACCAATCAAATCTCAAACCCCCCCCTTTCAACAAAATCTACACTAATAAAATCACAAAACCAATAATAACACCAAAAAATTACACACACCACAAAAACAATTTAATCCATATACCTGCCATTTATATCAACATACATCCCCTCCCATACCAATAACATCTTCCATATTACCCCTAACATATCTACTTATTCTTTCACTCCGCAAACACCCTTTACACCACCATATTTAAAACCACTAACCCCATTAAACACCCAAAACCCCCATTTAAAAAACATCTAAAAAACAATCCTCATCCCATTTCCTAACTATACCCCCCCTCCCTCAATTATATCACCTTCCCAAACACAACACCCCACATATATACCCAAAAAAAAATATTTATTAAATACAAAAACAATATAAAACCCCTAATCAACACATCCACAAATAATTATCAAACCCATTTAAAATAACCTACACATCTCATCCACATATATCACTTTTACACCCACCACCAAATACAAAACATTACAATAAAACTCTAATACAAACCAAACCCCCCAAAAAAACAAATCTAACCCCACACAACCTCACCCTAAAACCCCCATCATCCCCTAACCCCAATCTCCTCACAAAAACCAATCCCCTACAATCCCCCCAAACATAATCCACCCAAAATCCCCCAAACCACTCCTCACCCCCTTAATACCATACCCCCCTTCATCCCTATACCTTTAACTTTTTTACAACTTCATCACCAAACCACTGCACACACGCTCACACTCTCTCTCTCGCTCTCTCTCACAAACACATCCCCCCCCTCCTCCCGCCCACACACAAAACGAACTTCATCTACATTAATTCTAACAACCATACTATCCATGCTAACTATCAAACTTCCACCATTAACCAAACCCCAAAAATCCACATACCAATTCTTCGCTCACACCCACAAACACCCTCCATTACAACAAACCACCACCCACTATTTAACACCCTCTTCATATTACTAAAATATAATAATTAAACTAATCCACAATTTAAACACCAACCACCACAACATTCAACCTATTTTCCATTCCCCACAAACTACCTCCCCCTAAGCTCTACACTAATTAATCCCCACCCATTATACCTTCAATAACCATGCTTCCCTCTTGTCATTACATTTTTGCCACAACTAGATACTGGAATTCTTGCACCATTCAACCATGCCAAACATCACCTCTGCTCCAGTGAGCAGCACGTCTTACAGTATTCCACCTGATTCTCGATTGGATTACAGGTATGGACTTTGACAATGGCCTTTAAGCACCTGGATCCGTAATTTGTGAACCATTCAATGTCGATTTGGCTGGATGTTTGGCTCCTTCTCTGTTGGAATACTATAAATTCCTGGCCCAGTTCACTCGCGCTCATCTAATTCGATACTCAGCTTGTAGGTTAACGATATCCCTCCATGTCCTTTATATGGACAACAAACCAACATACCCAACCAAATAATCCCACCCTACTCCATTACCATCATCCTCCCCTCCTCCCCACCCATCATCATCCCCACCCCCCTTAATAAACATATTTTATTTATATAACATTTATCTATCATATAATCAAAAACCTCCACACAAAACTAATTCAATATTGCCCGACCTAACTATTAATGAAACAAATCATACCATCTCACCAACAACACAATAAATTGATATACTACCCCTTATTCTTTTTTCACACACAAAACCCTATCCATTGGGAACCATTAAATACTATATATACACAATTCATAAACATCCCTCCAACCATACCTTGACCTCAAATATCCCAATTATCCCTTCCATCAATAATAACATTCCTCCCACCCCCCAGACTCATAATAAAATCCCCTAACACATCTATCACCATTTCCAAATTATCCACACACACTATCAACACCAATAATATCATCCTGATGTATTCTTTTCTTTTTACCAATTACTCAAATCCTATTACCTCAAACCCAACAAACCCACACAATCAATCCCTATCACCACTCTATAAACCTTAATTTCCACAAAAATACACCACCACCCTCAAACCCAACCCCCCTACACACTTCCATATTATATAACCAAATAAAAAATTAACAACATATCAAACACCCTCCATCTTCACACGCCGTCTACTTATCAAACACCTTCTCAATCAACCCCTTGTGTCTCTCAACATAAACACACCTACCCAAACTTTCCCCCTAATT